AGAAAACCTGATCTTCTTACACTATCACTACCTTAATTTGTTCTCAGATGCTCACACATAATTGTGAATGTCATTTTTTTATTTCTCTCACCACATCGCATTAAGTAGACAGACCCATTAGGTCCATTTGGAACTATGCTCTTCTCTACAATTTCTTTTCCATTGACCAGATACCAAAATTTTCAGCCCAATATAATAGTTGGATAGAATAACATTTGAATAACTGAATAACAATTCTTGTAACCATCTCACAGCAAATTTTAGAATAGGGCCATTATTTGCATTTTGCTTATTGAATTTTTTTTTAACTTTACTGGAATCTGATTTAAACTGGGAGAATTTTTCTATACTATTTGATGCTATAGTTTTGTTTTTGTTTTTTGTGAAGTGACTGGTGAATAGTGGACACGAAGGGGGTATTTGTTGAATGAATGTGAGACCCTCCACAGTAGATCACCACTCCCCTTAGCAGTACATCTGAGCTGGCTCCCTTCAGTATCACCATCCAACACCTTCTTCTCTCTCATTATTTCCTTAAGCAACTTATTTTTGTTCATGCAGCATTGAGTTACCTTTCATAAGGCGTTGGCTATCATGATAAACTTTTGAAGAGTTTCATATCATACCTGCCCATGGTTTGTCTAATTTGCACATAACTCCATTCAGGTTCACAGTCCTGTTTTATGGTCACCTCAAGCTCCTGCATTCAACTTTGCTTCAACCATCCCCCAGTCAGACTCAATACTCTTGATTGTCATTCACTTAAGAGATATGAGTTGATGTTTTCTTGTTGATCACTGGCATTGTTCTACCTTTAGTGTAAGCATCATGATGACAGGACTTCCTATCTCAGTGGTGTGTGTGTGTGTGTGTGTGTGTGTGTGTGTGTGTGTGTGTGTGTTTAATTGATATTATAATCTTCATAAAAAAGTCACAAAAACCTAACCGGACTTTATATTGCATTCACAATACTTCAAAACAAATTAATTTACCTATTACTAAGTTAGATTTTTTTTCATTATTGCCTAGTTTCCATAAGAAGTCTCTTCAAGACAATTAAAGGCATTTTATGAATAATTTGATCTCTATTGTAACCTATCTGGACCAGGCTAGCATCACCATTATGGGTTCTGTAGCTCAATGTATGTATGCCTCATCCACTAAATATACCGCAGATATATCAGTGCAAATCCTATGTGTGCTATATGAAGCACACAGAAAAAGTGAATGGAGATGTGTTCACAACAGCAGAAGTAACAAACCTACAAAGTATTCAATACATCATGTCCAAAACAAGTTATGTGGTTTATATCACAAGCTTGAAAATGAATCTGATGCTAAGAACCTTTCCCCGAAGAACTGACTGAAGGGGTAAATTATTGCTTAAAACAACCAAAGATGTCAGTGAAAATAAATCTGAAATCACATTGTTCTGAAAGGGGACAAGGAAGAAGTTACATACTGAGAGAAGCCTTACTTTCCTCCAAATAATGGTTTCCTTCTTACTTTCCCATTGAATCTGCCTATGTATCTCTTCTGTCCTTTGAGCTCCACAGGCTTTAGCTTTCTTTGTTTTTATTATTTCTCTTTCCATTTCCTTCTTCCCTTCCCCTGCTCCTTCCTCTCTGGTTTTCCTCCACACCCCGTCCTCTTGTGTGTGCTTTTATATTTTCTGTACACAGGTGGTTGAAAAGTGGTATAGCAGGTAGTAGTTGCCAATACATACTGTTTGGTGGCTTCCCTCCATAAGCGAGTGCTGTAGAAATCCAAAGCACAGGATTGAGATACTCAGTATGGAAACCTGAAAGTCAAGGGATGCCCGTTGAGATGTGCTATTATTATAACCACATGCCCTAGCTGAAAATATAACCCAGTATTCAGTTAATTTTATTTATTTTAAAGGTAAACTGCAGAAACTTCTCTAAAGAGCTTCAAAAAAATCTAGATATTTTATGCGAATTTGCATTATAATTTATTTTTCAAATAAATGGTTATAATGTTCTCATGTGCTAGTATATTTTCATTTGCTTTCAGTTATAGATTTACAGATGCATTCAGCAAACCAGAGTGGGGTAGGATTGTATAATATAAGCCCTTGTATTTTTAAAATATGTAAATGAAAGTTAACTCAATGATGAATTACCAGTGATTGTTGGAAGTTTCCATCCAGAATCCCTGGTCATCCATGGTTTGTAGAACTCAAAGTCTTCCCAAAGTCTTCCTGGTCATCTAATTCAACACTCAGAAATTCAAGGAAAATGTTGTAAAAGCCTACCATGTAGAGTCTCTACGAGACCTTGGAGGGATATTTATTTTTCTTAATCTTTGTCAGAGTGCATATGGAGTTGACTTCTTTTTTTTCTAGAAATGAACTAGACAGACTAAATATTCATATAGTGAACTACATTTTCTTTTATGCAATCTGAATTCAGCCCCTACTTTACCTGAACCCTGAATCATCCCAGTCATTATTTTAACAAAGAAAATGTCAATCATTTAAATGACTTCTACCTGCCTACTGATGCCTATAGAATCTGATTAATTTCCCCCAAAATCAAATAAATTGACTTGTATGTTAGGGGGAAAAAAAAGAAGTACAAAAAATAAGCAAGCAATTCTAAAATACTGGTAGCTTACAAACAGGCTAGGCCATTCAGATCTTATGGAAATAAGCCAGCCAAAATCATTCAGTGGATAGAAAGAAGGCTAACTCAACATGTTTGATTGCCAAAGAGATTTCTCAGGTAACAGCTTGTAAAACGAAGGACGCCTTTAGAGTGACAATGTTCATTTCAAGAACTTAAATATTTCCTTCAGAAAGTAACAATTCTCAGGCACTCCAAAGGAATAAATATCAAACAAAATTATAAGCCCTTTTCCTGTAAATGAATTCCAGTATCTGTCACATTCAATTTTATCGTTGTTTTTGTTTTCTTACTTCAAATATATGGCTTCAAATCCCCCTGTGTAATTAGATGGGATTTAAATTGTAAATACATTATGACAGGAAAAAATAATATTTTGAGTATCTTGTATGCATTGGGCACTTTATCATTTAATCCTCTTAACACCCTTAAAAGCTATTCACACTTACAAGTCCCAAACTGAGGCTTGGCAAAGTCTTGAGACTTTCGAGTTTGCACTGCCTGCAAGTGATAGAGCTCAACTCTCACCTTCATTCATGTGAGTCTTCAGCATGTTGTCTTTACACTAACGTGTTTAGTTTCATTTCAAAACTATATCATACATGTAATATTTGATATACTTAAATGTGTATAATAAACATGTTCGTGTGGATAGCGAAAGGATCTGGTTCCAATATTCTTTCATGGTATTTGAGCATAGAAAGTCTTTCTGCAAGTATTTATTAAGTTTCTAGTCTATATTTTAGTAGTGCTGATTAATTTTAATGCATTATAACAAGTGAATCCTGGGCTAAAATTCCCCTCTCAACACTATCTGCTCTTATTCTTATGGGGGAAAAGAGCCATCTGGCATGTCCTGTTTTTCTTGTTCTTATTTACTGATTGTACTGGCCTCAGGGCACTGGTAAGCAAACTCTTTTCACTGCAATTCTGAGCCTAGATTGATAGCCAGGTCTATTCCTTAGGAACTGAATGTCATGATTACATTTGACTAGTTTTTCAAAATTCCAGAGAGTATCACAGCTATCCCTGAGCATCTTGTGAATATTAAAAGCTTTAATGCATGAAATATGCAACACATATAATTTCTGGCATGTTGTAAGCATATATAAATGCCATGGAGAGATTAGATGTTTCAAGTCTGTTTTGGTCTTCTCAAGTCCTACTTTATTTTGGATCACTGAAAAAGGAATTTATACGTTACCTATCAAGTCTTGTTCCCAGGAGGAAAAAATTATGAAAATATAGGCTTTATTTACTTTGTATACAACCTATATGCTACACACTCATCTGTTTGGCGTTCTTAGTACTTGAACATACTCCTGAATTAGTCTGTCTCAGGGTAACCAAAGAAGAAAATGCCAGAATAAGTGAAGGCTGAATTCTGTTTGATATGAGGACTTAGGCCTGGGAGGCAGTATATATAAAACTCTGATTGTTCCATTTGCTACTCTGTAATTTGCCACAGAGAACTAATTTTCAAGAGTTCTAAAACTGAAAAGCTCCCAGTAAGCAGGCATCTCTACTGACATTTGATAATATCTAGTTGCCAGTGAGATTTTCAAAGGACCCATGCCCCTGTCAGTTCCTACATCAAAACACACAGCAAGAGCTTATGAGTTGGCAATTAATAATAAAAATTTATGCAAGTAGTTCATATGGCATCATGTGATAGTTACTAATATAGTTCGTGGATTTAATGGTATTGGTTAATTAAAGAAATTGCTCAGGATGGGAAAGGACTTGGAAATGATTGTGAAACTTTTGTTGTTTATTTGATAATGAGCTCTGAGACTCAAGAGGAACTTTCAAGTTTCTAAACAAGTGAATATATTTTACCTTTGGCTCATTTTTTACTTAACTCCAGGTCATTTATTTTGGCAAGGGAAATGTACCTGTTCAATATCAAAAGGCCTATGAATTTCAGCCTTCTTTTATTTTCCTACTATATCATTGGAGAGATTTTATACATAAAAACAAAATGATACCTCTCTGCAGATCAGGATCCCCCTCAGCTTCTACGATTTTAGTTTCCATATTTCAAGTGCACTTCGAAAATAAATTGCTGTATTTGATCACATGTAGATTTTCCATCATGCAATCCAGTACAGGTGTCTGACATTGGATATACATCTGTGAAAAATAAATGTGCCCAGGAACAGCACTGAAGATAACAGAATCTGTGAGCTCATCATCTAAAAGATGTCACTTCATAACAGTTTCCTCGCTGCATAAGAATATTAATTTATAACTCAAAATTATGAATTATGCATGCAGGGGATATATCTAGTTATTTTCGTTATGAATGTTAAATTTATTAATATCTTTTTATCTTCCCCTGCTTGTCATGCACAGGACAGAGTCCAGCCTTGCCACCGCCGTCACCAGCAGTACCAGCTTCTAGACCTGCTACTCTGTCAACACCAGCTCCTGAAGGCAAGTGCCAAGTTTTGTGGTGTTTCCCCCGTCACATAAATAGTTTGACTATAGACAAAGAAAATTAATATACAAAGACAAAATAAAATAACAAAATTAATACAAGGCCCAGTATTTTCTTACATAAATTTACTATTCATCAGGCAAAATCTTGTTTTCTTCAAATTTCAATTTGATGCCTTTTTAGAGTATAAAAGTTTCTTCTTAGAATTTCGTATGTTGAACTCTGTCTTCTTGGAGGAAGACCAATGTCCTGCCCTGAAGCTAAAGTTAGAAACTATCAGCACAAATGGGCAAGAATATGGCTTCCCATTCTGCAGTTTTACCATCACTTGGATAATTGGTATTTAAAGACTCACGTGGCAGGGTCTGAATTTGAGTTTCACATGTTATGAATTATCCAAATTAGGGAGTTATTGACTACTCACGAGCTCTGCTGCCTTCTAGATGTTATTAAGAATTCACGGGCAGAGTTCATTAATGAAAGGGATGCAATTGTATTTAGATTATATGAGCTGTATGCAATTAGTAGTTACAATTAACAATAATTCTTCAAAATAGGACCTTTGAAGGACAAAACAACAGCAACTGCAAAAACAACAGCAAGAAATAACAACAACAACAAAAAACAAAATAAGAGGGGTTGTTTGTTTTGCTGGAAACTTGAACATGTTTTCAAATCTTATCTATTTTTACTATTTTCAAAGTAAATCCCAACAGGGAGATCATGTAAGATATTTTGCTAATTATTGCCAATAAATTAAAAATGTTGCTCCTGCCGTTCTTATTCAGTTTAGCAATGTTAAAGCCCAAATACCCAAAGTGAATGTACAACACATATTTTATGAGACTACCAATTTAAATCCTCCTCATTTCCTCTAATGAAAGAGACTTTGTTTGTGCACAGACACGCCCCCCTCCTTATGCACATTCTTCCCACACTGACCAATAGCTGCCCATTGCTTCTGGTTTCCACACATGGTTCACACATGACAGGCTCACACTAACAAGGTGTCATCAAAGAAGTAGCCTGTGTACACAGAGAGAAGGAAATATCAAGAGCACGGGATTTATGCTTTAGTTTTCATGTTGAGTTTCGTGGAGTTTTCTGATGACAGCAGTGTGTTTTGGTGATACTCAAGACTACCCTAGCAGCAATTCTCAGACTTGAAGGCACATACACATAAATTTATGCACAAGTGAAAACATGACTTCTAATTCAGCAAGTCTACGCTAGGTCCTGAATTTCAGCATTATTTTTTTCAAACTATCAAGTGTGACTGATGCTGCTATTCCAGGAACACATTTGAGTGTTACATTCCTGTCTGTTCTGAACTGCTATGCATTTATAAGAACGCTATTAATGTAATGGAGTGCCTTGAAAACCTTGGCTAAAAATTGTATTCAGAGTGACTAGACTGTCACTTTTGTAGACAATTTGCTTTCTCATTCTCTGAATAAACACTAAATAGCTCAAGCTAAGTATCTACCTCTTTTGTAAGATAGTCAGATAAATACCAATAGAAAGTAGGTAAGGAGTCATATGTCCCTTGTGAATTACAACAACCTGTTATATAGAATTAAATAGTTTGAATTGGTTAGCTAAAAAAATCTGACAAACAATGGGTTTCAAATTTTAAACAAAATCCCTAAGCGAACTGTAAGTCAGCACTACATTAATCCCAAACTAGGACACAAAAACACACTTTCATGTGATTGTTAGAATACATGTCTTAGAGGAAAGTACATAAATACCTTGCTTACACTCTTGAGAGACCATCTTGAGTATTTAGAAAATGATACAAATCTAGTCAAAGCTTTAGAACTCCTGTTTCCTGTTCCCTTCAGCTACAAGGTGTTTATTTTTGCCCTCATGCTTATTTTGTTAGTGTGAATCCTTTGACTAGAACAAGATACTATGGTCTCCACTAACTCCCATGTCTTACTTCAACTGTTCATCAGCTTGTCTCCAGACATTGCTTCTTTGTGAGTGAAAAATGTGTTAAAATCAAATCATATTGATGTATTAGTTTGCCTGATTAACCATATTGTCTGAGGTACAAGGACAAGTCTTAACAAGGCACAGGAGACTGGGAAGCTTACAGGATAAGGACTTATTTTCTTATAATTCTGGATGCTTGAAGGCAAAGATTAGGGTTCCAGCCTTGATAGATTTAGAGGATAGTAATGTCTATACAGATTATGCCAACATAAACTCATTCCACCATAATCTTCTCAGAAACCTCCATTGTTAATAGTTACATTGTGACTCAGTAATTCACCACCCAAACCTTTACATAAATGATGACAAATCCAGTTTTCAATCCTTGGTAAACTTTAAGCTTAGTTAAAGCTATTTAAATGTCTGTCTACATCCATGCAACAAAGACATCTATTCAACTATGATCATAGCCGCATTATTTGTAATAGCAAAAACCTGGACGCGACCTAGATGCCCCTCAACTGAAGAATGGATAAATATGTGGCACATTTACATAATGGAATATTACTCTGTGGAAAAAAACAATGGAATCATGAAATTCACAGACAAATGGATGGAACTTGAAGAAGCCATCCTGAGTGAGGGGAAAGAGAAGGGGAGGAGAGGAGGACATGTGGGACCAAGAAGTTTGTGAGTCAAGGGACAAATAGACGAGAGTTAAAAAAAAAAAGAAAAAGAAAAGAGAGAGAGTAAGTGTGAGAGAGAGAGAGACAGAAAGATACCATAATAGAGCCATTATAGGTTTGAAGAGAAAACTGACTCTAGAGAAATATCCAGAGACCTACAAGGATGATACCAACTAACAATCTGAGCACCAGTGGAAAGGATACCTTATATGTATGCCCTTTCCTGATAATGAGATTAATAACTAATCCTAAAGCCCTCATCTAGTAGCTGATGGAAACAGAAGCAGACACCCACAGCTAAACACTGAGCAAAAGTCCTGGAATCCAGTTGCAGAGAGGGAGGAATGATAAGAAAAGGGTTCAAAACCAGGCTACAGAAACCCACAGAGACAGCTGACCTGATAAGGGGGAGCTCATGGACCCCCAGACTGATAGCTGGGAAACCAAGATCTATATGGACTCAGACCCCCTGAATGTGGGTCTCAGTTAGAAGGCCTTGGCAGTCTAAGGGACCTCTGACGTGGAACCATGATGTATCCCTGGTGCACAAAAAGACTTTGGGAGCACAATCCACATGGAGGGATACAACTTTAACCTAGAGGCAGGAGACAGATTTTTATGATCCCTCCTGGAAGACATCACCCTCCCTGTGGACTGGGGGTGGATGGGAGGGAGTTTGAGGGACATGGGAGGGAAGGAGAGAGAAGGAACTGGGATCTATATGTAAAATAAGAAAAAACAATAAATATATAAAAAATTATTAGTGTCATCATAAACATCATTGGATTCTAAAGAGTTGAATATAAATCAAGTAATACAGATTGTGTATCTCTAGGCACTCTTTGATAATAAGATTCTCCAAATACTTGGCTCTAATTGATCTCCTGGCAGAAGTTTATAAAACACCCAAGAAGAAATATGCTTTGCCTTTCTACCTGACACATGGGAAATGATGTATCACTTTTACGATGAGATTTTGCAGATCTTTGTCACAATGAAAGGATGATTAATTTGTCAACTCATCCCTGGGTTCCATATTATGTTTGAGTGAATAAAATAACAGTCTTTAGGGACTATGGGCCTTTTGCAAATGGAAACAGCTTGTGTGCAGAGGCAGTGTCCTCTTATTGAGGCTTCTAGTGTTAAATAACTCCCAAGAAGCAGACTATATCCAGACAGGCTAAGCTCAGTTGCTTTGTCAAGAATTTCAGATGTGCTGCCTATAACTACATTAACATAATTGATTAGGAACTAGGACATATTTAGTATTAATCAAGCTGTTTTTAGTGAAGCTGATTATGCCAGTCCTTTGATGCACTATTTTGGTCTGGAGCTTCCTTAGGAAGAACTTGCAGGAAAATGGCTTATGTGAAAAAGAAAAACTTGCATATGACACTGAAGGATACAATTTGTTTTACAGAATGTGGGTAAATTGTAGAAGTGTAAACATGTTACAATTTTAATGTTTTTAAAGTAGAGCTTTTTCTATAGATACTAGATTATTACATTTGCTCAAGGAGTTTGGAAACAACTTAGAACTTTTTCAATAGATAACTAAAAGCTTGTCAACCTTATAGATAAAACTCTACATAGAGCTATAGAAATTTTTTAATGAAAAAAGAAAAGGCTTGGTGCTTTCATAGCACCTGAACAATGAATTTCCTACAGCAGGTACTTTTTCCAGGGGAGGGAAATCATTGTACTTCCTATTTCAGGTCACTCATTTAGAATCTTGAAGTTGTACCTAGCCTTCCTTTATTACTCTGTTCTCTCTGGCACATGATTTGTACACTGTAATAAAGTTTTTATTGTTTTGAATAGTTGAATGCAAAGGGAACTAATTGCATATTAAATTATGTGTGCTCATTGATTATAAAACATTGGACTTGGGAATATTAGTAACAATAGCTTTTAAAAGATCTTACATAGTAATCAGTTACATAAATCATTTGGTACTATTATCAATTTGTACTTAAATCTTGACATCCTCAACTAGCACTTATTTTCAAATGGACCTAAGTATACTATTAATTTTCATAATCTTCTAAAGTGCATTAACTTTTGTTCTGGCAGGGGCAAACAGGCCTATAGATTTAAAGGGTCACTGTAGTTGTCCAGAAAATATAGAGAGACATAGCATGATTAGTTTTCCTCACTCAGAATCAACTCTGTAATATTACATTCCAGGTGGTGTTGCAGCTTTGTAGGAAAACTTTTTACTCTAAAGCATTGGCAGGAATTTCTGCACACTCCTTCTCCAAGGAAAACTATTTTTTTGAAGACTCAAGCTTTCTTCAGTTTAACAGAGTCCTCACTAATTAAACACGATAACTTCAGTCAACGTATTTTCCATCTCTGCAGTCACTAACAAT